CAAACTCTTCCAAAATTGCCGAGACATCATCCTCGGCGGGTGTAACTGCTTCAATAGGTTGAGCATCCTGTTGAGAGGATAAGGATCGCTGTCTTCTATGAAGAGAATGTAAGGCCCCGTTAAAATTTTCTAATGATTTAAGATTTTAAGGTGCGTCAATAGTATTTGATAATAACGTGTTCGAGTATTAAAGGAGACCCATGGGATAGAACCACATCCTTTTGAAATGAAAATATATGTTTAGGGTGTGTTGGAATATACTAAGGCGTTTTGTGAATGGCAAGAACTTGTGTGAAACAAGTTGGATACATTAAGTGGAAAGGATATCCCAATTCGCACAATATCCTATTTCAAATGCATGCGGCTACTAAACTATAAATACTTAGGAGGTAATATACCTATCAACGTAAAGCCCTTTGAGTCTAGTTTCCCACTCATCAAACCGTTTGTCATTTGGATATGTATACAAAAGGTTATGGCTATTTTACTGGACCTGTGTCATATGCGCGCCCAGATGCGCGGTCGTGCATATTTGAGAGCTTTGCCTTGTGTGCGCGGCTAGATGCGTGGCCGCACATATTTGAGAGTTTCTGCCTTATGTGCGCGGCCACTTACCCAGGTGCGTGGCCGCACATGTAGGAGCCCATTAAATAACCTCAAAGATGGGTAGAGAGAGGGGGTAAGTCATTTCTTCAAGACTAGGGCTTTCTCTCCACCACCTATCCGGCCAAGGCTTCCAATACACACCTAAAGTGAGTTTTTAAGTGTGTTTTTATGATGATTTCACTTCTCAATCACTAGTTACAACAAGGTTTTGTATTGGATTCCATAGGATTTCTTCAAAATCTCAAGAACACCCCAGAAGTTGACTTTCAAGATTTGGTCTATAAGAGGTAATCATTCACCCTTAAACCTACATGCATGGATTGTTAGTGAATAAATGAGCAAGGAATAAGTACTAACACTTATGAGATGGTGATTGGAAGCCATAAATACTTAAACTAGATTATTGAATGTGGTAGATATTTTGTAATAGGTTAATTAGTAAAATTTGATAGATGTGATTTCATTGATAATTATAATGGTGCTAAGAAGGTAGTTAGTGGACAAAGGATGTTGTAGTATATCTTATTAGTGGTAAGGAGGTATTGTTGGATGAACAAACACTGTTACTAGAGGTAGTTGAATGCTATGCACTCTAGGTGTTTGATAAAATACCAAAATGACCAAAAGCCTGGAAATATTTACTAATATTGGTCCAATTGAATTATGTTGATGTAGATTGAAGTTGTAAGAGTAGTGAGTGATTTTAATATTGCTAAAGAGCTCCATCAAGGTATGTTGGCTAAACTTTATCTATTAGAATCGAATTCCATAATGTTCCCGTAAGTTTCAAAGTATGCGTTGCGTATTAAAATGTTATGGCTTTGAGTTGTGTCATATGAAAGCTAGTATGACAAATTGTGTGAAAAAAACTCGATATGTTTAAAGCTCAAAATTTCTCATATGTTTACCTAAAGTGTTGATTGAAAATATCTTGTTGTTGATAATCTATAAAGATGCTTGAAAATAAAATAAGTGAATTGGGAAAAATGAAATAAGTGAATTGATGCAGGTGGTTCATCAGCGGGCACCTTTGGTCCTCGTTAGCAGTTACTCCCTATTGAGTAGGTTTTGGTGATCCCTACTCTATTCCGGGCCTAATATCATTTGATGTTGTACTTTGTATTTTGAGGTATAAACGGGGTCTTGTTGCCGGCATTTCCATATTACTCTTCTGTTGTACTTAGAGGCTCCGTAGACAGGTTGTGGGTGGTGTTTGATGTGGGGAATTGAACTAAAAATATTGGTATTTGGCAAACATATTTTTCATTATATCTATAAACTTGTAATATTTTAAAAATTATGAACGAAGTTGCTAATGGAATGAAATGGGAGTTATTAATGAAATCTTTTTAGTGTTTGATTAATGGAGTGCATCTCCTCTTTATTCATGAATGAGTTTGGGTAGAAGAAAATCTAATAGGCTTGCTCGGCCGGGTTTACTCGATTGAGCGCCGGTCGTACTCCCCAAGTTTGGAGTGTGACAGAGAAGCTCCCTTATCACTAGCTTCTTCATCATCAATCACCACGGTGTCTATGACCGGCCCGGAGGGAGGACCAGCCAACGTCGCCACCGAAGATGGTTCGGGAGCATCAACCTTTGCCCTCTTATTCTTCTCCCCGGACGCAGAAGAACGCCTTCTTTTTGTTGTTTGTTCTCTGGCCAGGGACTCCGTGAAGAAATATTTATTCCCGGAGTAGTTCTGGAGGCACCCGTTCGAGCAAGCGCCTCCTGGAGCAGCCTCACCGCATTAGCAGGGTCGGCCAAGATATCCTCTTCGGGGATCTCGACTGAGCCCGGGGATAGACCTAATTTGACAAACAAGTTAGAAGATTCAGCCAAAATTCACCTACGCAAAAACTGAAATAGAGCAAATTATAGTTACCATGATTTTTGGCCTTTCACCCATATTTAATGGACAGTTCTTTCCACAAGTGGATTTCGGGTGTGGTTATGTCCAAGATCTTTTGAACCCACCTATCTAAGCCTTCTACTACCGGTGGGACCCATCGTGTCGCTATAGAATACAGAAGTTGAGAGATCAATACAGGCATAATAAGCATTTTGAGGAGAAGAATGTACTAAGGAACTTACGGGAACGGTTCCAGGCAACCGGAAAGGATGAGGTCGTTTTTGAAATGATATCACCAGAGGCAATTGCTACAGATCGTTCCATCCATCCTCGGTCATTATCATCATCCATGCTTAATATCAAAGCATAGTGACCACGTTTGCAAAGATTTATCACCCCCCCCACCCCCCGCGAAATATCTTGGGTGAATACAAATTCATCATGTGAGCCAAGGACAACTCTTCTCCGATTTCAGAACACAAGCGCCGGAGGCAGGCAACCGTCCTCCACACAGAGGGGCTTACCTGTGCCAAACATACTTGATAGCGGAGACAAAATTCCATTATCATAGAATCAAGTTCCCCAGTCAAACAAAACGTACCCAAGGTAAAGGGATACGTATAAAAATATATGAAACCCTCTCTGGGGAGGGTCACTCGCTCTGATAGATTGGAAGCGATGATGTCCAAATTGGGGCAGCGACAGTCTTCCTTCATAGTAGGGATACTAGAAGGATGAATGGAAGATGGGTACATGCTAATCGCCCATAAACGAGGGTTATCAGTAGGGAATTTCTCCTCAAAATTCTTCGAAACATTAAGTCTCTTGGGGATTATGGAACTTACTGTTGAGGGAGTAGAATCTTCGTTTTTGCTTTTACTTTTCGAAGAGCCAGAACATTTTGATAAAGAAACTATTAGAAGAAGGGAAGAAGAAATTCTGAGTTTTGGGAGGAAATAAAGAAGAGATGAAGAGTAAGAATGCAGGTTTAAAGATCAAGCAACTAGTAAAACTCAAAAGAGAAGGGAGCTGATACGTATAGGTAAATTTTTGGGCGGCAAAAATACTTAGCTCTAATTATCTCGATAATCGGCAGAAGGCGTGCTAAATCATAAGAGGACGCGTGTTCTAGGCATTAAATGCGGAAGGGCAGACGTCTAATCAACCGCCAGTGACCGACAAAAGGAATTATAGTATTTTTCGCCAAAAAAGGATTTTTACTGACTTTCCGGTAACACAAAGTTATGTTACCGGAAAGCATAGAAACTATCTGTATTGGGTTAAATATGGTATATTATGTGATCGTCTGAGAAGGGGACACATGGAGTCAAAACCGGGAGGGATGTAAAACCGGGCACAATCACCTCGTGTGTCACCGAAGAGGGCAAGTCCATAAAGGGATTAAGCATGCTGCGCCCGATAGCATTGAATGAAGAATATTCCACAGTATTAAAGAGTAACGACTCATTAATGAGATATGAGCATTTATGTTTACTGTTAGTTTTCCGTTATCATATTCCAATAATTGTGATTAGTGGTGGGCCCGACCATTACGCCCACTGAGCTATAAATAATAGGCTCAACCATCATTGTAAGGACGACTTTTTCTGAAATACATTGGATACACTCTAAGGAGCAATCTAATATCTTTTTGATCCCTCGCTTGTTAAATATATCATCATTGTGCCCGAAAACTTGGCTCTCGGGCTCTTTGAATATACCATTTCATCTACATTTCCAGCCAAGTATCTTACATATCAATCGATTAATTCATTATCTTTTGGATCAAATTGGCCCATCTGTCTAGAAACCACGAACAAATTTAGAAACCACGAACAAATTTAGATGTACTGATTTCCGGGCAAACATGTATCTTGTGAATTTTGGAAATACACTTCATTGTTTTCCTTTTCATTTAATTTTGTGATATAACTAAGAAAATAAATTGAAAAATCAAGTATCTCGAAAATATTTTAATTAGTTTTAGGAGAAAAAATAACATATGTAAGGCGGGTTTGAAATTTTCTGTTAACTCGTCGAAGCACTTCATCAAATTATTGCTTTCACTTATATGGTAACTTTCCAACAATTGATCATTCAGAAGTCACTTAAATCCATATTACTTAATCCAATTAAATCAGTGAGAATTTATACTGCTTTTATTTTATAGTACTATGATTTAAGAATGTGACCAAATAAAATCATACAGTCAGTAAACGTCAGAAGCTAGCAGGCCAAAACGGGTGGAATATGTCTTTTAAGATTGATGTGGGAAAGCAAGAATTCATTTTTCCTTTTCCTACTCTAACTCCCAATCTGATATCAACAGCTTGTCCCTACGGCCAATCTCTAGAAAAATTCAACTTCTCCTTCAAAGAATTATTATAAAATTTAGCCTTAAAAAGATATAAGACGAAAAGCACTAGGGGACAAATTACTAAACCAAAATTAAATGTAGTGCAGCGATCGAGTCCCTATAGCTTTCCTGGAAAGAAGGCTTTTATTAAAGAATTTCATATATACAGTGAGTGGGAAATATATTTTGTATAAATTCAGGTTTACAAAGCAAGGCCAAAAACTATACAAAAAGCAGTAAAGAAGTAGGTGATCACTTGAGCTTCTCTACAATCATATATGCCAAGATTACCACCACAGCAGCAGCAGAAAAGCACAAACATGGAGGAGATAAAGAAGGGAGCATGGTCTCCAGAGGAAGACCAAAAATTGAAAACTTATATCATGAGATATGGCATTTGGAATTGGAGCCACATGCCCAAATTTGCAGGTTTGATTCATTACAAATAATTTCCAATATCAGATCCAACATGTTAATTCTGATAATTCATTCTTTGATTTCTACGCATGCATTAATATTTCTACACATGCACTAAACATACTTGTAACCCTAATTAATTCAGTGTGTAAGTTCATTAATATGTTCTACTTAATTAATTAGTCTCGTGAACGTACATAATTGCAGGGCTTTCAAGAACGGGGAAAAGTTGTAGACTCCGATGGGTGAACTATCTTAGCCCTGATGTTAAAAGAGGTCCCTTTATCATGGAAGAAGTCGAAATAGTCGTCAAAACCTATCAGGAACTTGGAAATAGGTGAGACGAACTTCTAATTCTGAGTTCTTTTTTTTGTTGTTGAAAGATTTGAAATGTAATAGAAGTAGTTGTGTATTATATTATCTCTAGATGGTCAGCCATTGCTGCAAGATTGCCAGGAAGAACAGACAACGAAGTTAAAAACTTCTTCCATACACACTTAAAGAAGCATTTGGGAGTGTTGAAGAGTACTACTAGGGCAAGAAGCAATAAAAGGGCACTGAAGAAAACCAAAGGAAATGCCGACAAACAATCACCTGATGTTTCTTCATCAGACAGCAGCAGTATTGTTACATGTGAAGAAAATAAAGTGAATGAAAACCAGACGATGGGCGTTTCTATGAATTTATCTCAAACATACCAAGATTGGTTCAACATTGTCGATCAACCAAATATTGAGATGGAAATTAGCCCGGTTATATTGGAGAGCAACCCAGACGATGGTGGTACTTATGATTCCAACTGCCAACAACTTCATGATCAGTTTGAGCACTCTGATGAGTACATTTCCGAATATTACTCCAGCTTTAACTCAATTGACCAGTTCGATATGAGTTCATTCTGGTTTGATGAACTTTGGGATGTCGAAACATCTGATTTTTTCAGAGATGTTATAACTAATTAGCACCTATGTCTCACGTCTAGCACTTTTTGGCCTTTTTAAGTAAACAAAGCCAACTAGAAAATGGGGATTAGACAAACTTCTAAGTCCTACTACTTGTTTTAAAGTATGAAGAGTGGTAATACAAGTTATGTACTCTTTCTCATGAGATATGACCCAGTTGCCCCGAATATGCAGATTCTTCTTTTTCCAGACTTGAGCACGTGGCACAATAACATGACAAGGCTACCTCAAATTGTAACAAAGGGCAGAAGTACCTTTAATTTAATTTCTTGCTTGTATCCTAACTGGATTTTGCCATAAATAAAATGGGTATAAATGGGGTTTCTCCGGAGGTTCTTTTTTCCTGCTAAGAAGATAGCCAAATATTTTAAAGGCGGAAATTAAGGTTGTTCATTAGAGAGAAAACGATTGCGGAATATTAAATCCCAAATAATGTTAGCGAAATTGAGAGAGAAAGCATAAAGAAGAGGTTAATCCAAAAATATAATATTGTCCCCAACTAAGCATGTGAATCCCAAGTTTTCGCTCAAATAACATTTTACTTTATTGCTTATTTGCATTTTTACTGTACTTATTACTCCCGGTAGCTCTAGGCCCGGAACCAAGATATCTACCGTTTATTCCAATTTTAAGGCTAAGTGTATATTTTTTCTCTAATTCATCTGTTATTTTTGGATCAAATTAATTCACTTGTTTATAAATCACGTAATATTTTAACTGTATCGTTTTACGGGTAAACAGTTTGACACCCACTGTGGGGCACAGACAGTCGTGTAATTGTATTGTTCCCTGCTTCTACTTCTATTATTAACTTGTTTGATTCTTTGTTCTTAGCAAAAATTATTTAAAATGCCAGATAATGATGTTAACAATGTACACAATGTTGAGGCCCAAGAAAATCAGCCTCAGGACGAGGATTCAATCAGTGATTGAAGAAGAGCACGTCGTCGAAAGCAATAGTGGCGATTCAATCAGCCTCAGCATTAACTATAAACCCAAGCATCAGAATTTTGAACTTTCAACGCCTCTGAGAGGGAACTTGCTACTTTGCCCCTATAAAATACAAATTACTATAATAGCTATTAGTAATACTATTTCAGAGTTTTGATCACAGAGCATTGACAGCCATGACTATTACTACTTTTGACGTTGACTTCTTCGGTGATCGTTGTTGGACTTGATATCGAGTGGCGACCCACTTTCAACCGTAATCAACAAAGCCAAGATGCAATTCTTCAGCTTTGCGTTGGCCGCCGCTGTCTCATATTTCAACTCCAGCACTGTTTTACATACCTTTTTTCTTATTCGTTTTTTTGTACAATCCCAGTTGCACCATTGTTGGGGTTGGAATCGAGAATGACGTTGAAAAGTTGGAGAAGGATTAAGGGATACGTGTGGGCAATGTGTTTGACTTAAGGCATTTGGCGGCGGATGCTTATGGCATGAGGGACCTGAGAAATGCTGGTTTAAAGAAGCTGTGCCAAGTTGTTCTTGGAAAAGAAATGGAAAAGCCCAAGAATATTACTTTGGGTAAATGGGATAACGAAGAGCTCAGCGCGGAGCAAGTGGAGTATGCTTGTATTGATGCTTTTGTGTCTTTCGAGATTGGAAGACGCTTGAATGCTTCTAGCGACTTTATAGTCTTTTGTAGCGACATAAGTCGCCACTAAAAGCAATATTTCTTGTGGTTTCGACTCGTGTATTGAGTCTTTAAAGTCAAATGTACGTGATGCAAACAAACGTTTCTACTAGAGATCCGGCATGAGGCTATGTTATTCTAGGTTTAAAATCCTGAGGGAGTTGTTTTATACCTGGCTTACCCAAGCGGACAGCTCGAGCCGAGGTGGGGGCAATGTAGCGGGAGCACGAAAGTCTACCCGACCTAGTTGTTGATCTAGCCTCGTTCTATTTGGTATGACCTCTAACAGAAAAGTGGGTCACGCGCACGTGTGCACCATAAATTCAGAAGACTCATAAGGGAGGTGTAAGAAGGCAGTTTACACAGTTCAAATAATATCAAAGCGGTAAATGAGCGGCAATTACCACATTAGGCCCACAAATACAATAATATAAACATTCAAGAAAGCCAAGTATAGATCACATTACAAGCTCGAATTCTGAACTCTGAACTAGAAGTTATGGGTTCTTGTCCCCAACAGAGCCGCCAGAACTGTCACATCTCTTTTTTCCGAGGAATAAGGAGTTTTTTCAATTAAAGTGATATTATTCGAAATAAGATTATTTATTTATTTAGAGTCGTCACTTGGAATAATTATTATGGTGTCCCAAGTCACCGGTTTATTTTAAAATTCATTCGAGGAAATTGACTCGATTTAAGTCCGCGAAAACCAAAAGACCGGGTAAGGAATTCTGTTAACCCGAGAGAAGGTGTGAGTCACTCTCGGATTCCGTTGGTTTAGCAAGGTCGCTTTAATCATACATGGCTTAATTAATTATTTAATTACGCATTTTAGAACCTATGTGCGTTTTACCTTTTACTGCTTTTAAATTACTTTATTATGGTGTTATGAAATTATCTTTGAAATGGATCACGTGTGTGTATATCCGTTTGTTCGGGTGTCAAAATCATGTCACGCGAACGTGTACATAATTGACAACACTTTATTAATTTTAAGATTGTTTGGCCAACGTCGCTCGAACGCGTACCTTGATTTATTTTGGGAATCATAATTATGTCACGCGAACGTGTACATAATTGACAACACTTTATTAATTTTAAGATTGTTTGGCCAACGTCGCTCGAACGCGTACCTTGATTTATTTTGGGAATCATAATTATGTCACGCGAACGTGTACACAATCACGATAGTAAATTAAAAGCGCGTCTAAAGGAAACTACGACCTTTTTTTAAAAAAAAGAAGAAAATTTGATCACTTCACTAGATTTGGAGTTGACATAAGGAGGCAGCGTTATAGGATTTATTTGTGAAAAATAGAGTAATCCTTAGCTAATAAGTGGCAAGGCTTGTATACTACAAGTATCCAAAGTTCTGCCAATTCATAAGGGGCGGCTACAATTACTAGAGAGTAAGGGATTGAAATTAAGAAAATGTTCAAAGCCTTAAAGTGATTCAAACCGATTTGGGCCTACTGAAGCTAACATGTCTTTTAAAATAGGTGACATTTTTATAACATGGACAGGACATGGGGTTGGCTTGTGGCTCTACTGGATGGGCCGGCTCTCTGTTGAGCCCAATCAATCAACATGGTATTTCAATATAATTTGCAAATATCAAGAATAACAAAATTAATTACAGACTTTCTTAAACATTAATACATGAATTTTCAAGCTAAATCACTACAGTACTTAAAAGAACAAAAGGAAATAGTTCAAATTCTCACTCATGCTAATAGACATTTCATGAACCAAATACCTTATATTTTCTAGGCCTAAACAATATTACAGCATATAAGCTTTGAATCATTAAACCATAAACTCTGTATGCTTTTGACTTCAAATTGAAACCTATGATGCAACCTTCACCCTCATATGTGTAAAAAAATGACGCACTTGACTAATAGTGGTTTGATAAACAGGGTGAGTGAGCAATCGGTAGCAACTAGTCTAGTTAGTGAGTAATCATAGCTTAACTATTCAGCTCAAACAAACAAATTTAATTAGATACTCATCGAGAAACAAAGATGAAACAGATTTCACATTCAAACAGCAGGAACATATAGAAGTAGATATGGAGAGGGAATCAACATATCAAATTTTCATTTATATACTCTAACAAAAGTTTACAGATGGAACTTTAGGTACCTATAAGCAGGAAATAGTCAGCAAATGGACAAATAAAGGCCTGGGAATGAAGATGAAAATCCAGCTAATAGAACAACAGCTTTGAAAGCAGAATCAACTTACAACTTCGACTTTAAACCCAGAAACAACATAAAAATCCGAGAGATATTGAAATAGAAAAGTAGAAGATTGAATTGGATCCTAAATCCTCCCTTTTCTGTTTTTTTTGTTTTTTTGCTAAATAGTAGGTATTATATNTTATTAATAATAAAAGAAAAAAAACCACAACGGAAGAGTACAAGTAAGGGGGCAAAAGCGGCAGTAGTGTTACCTCTATGCCTTGGCTATATAGTGATCCCTGTGCGTTTCCATTGCTTTGTGATGGCAGCCTCACGAGTGGCTGTCGGCAAAGTCTCACGAGGGCGAATGATTTCATAGCCGTTTGGATATTTTCCAAAGGCATAGTATATATAGCAAGCACTTACTGAGCTAGGCCTTACCTTACAAATCCTATTGAGGCATGAACAACCTCATCTACTAACAAGCATGTAAAAAATAAGAGCTAGAACGAATTAAGTACTGTATGATCATCACATAGTTTATAACATACACTGTGATGATGTTACATATGGTAATACTTATAAAATGAAATATTAAAACATGATAAAAATTAGAGTATGGCCCTTGTTTATTCCATCATGTGACCTCTTCAAAATGTAAATCCTTGACTTTCTTCTTTAAATATCTTCATCAATGCTTCGAACTTCATCATTTTTTATTTGATCTATTTGACTTTGTGGAGGTGGCAGGGGTTGCGGCCTTTAGTTTTGCAACTCTCATTGGAGGTTTCCTAATGACAACCTCTTGTGTTACCTTGTCGTCCCAACTATGTTGCCTCTCGGGTGGCTTCTTCTTATTTTTGTTGGATCCACTTCTCGCATGTCTAGGTGAAAGATCTCTCTCCCTAGCTATAATGTTGAAGGTGGCATCCAGTAGTTCCTCCTCTTCCCCTTCTTCACAAAAATATTGACCCATATCCATCCCAAAAGCGTCCATAGGATTGAATCCGGGCACTAGTGCACCATGATCATCCTCAGATTTTCAAGAGATCTCAATGTATCCATGTTATGCGAAACAAGAGCATGGATAATATTGGTAGGTGTCAAATTATATTTTGCAGCCAAAGCAATTGCATTTCCAGTGGCCACTATCTTGTGCATCTTTTTAGCATGTGGTGAAAGTTCTATGTCCTTCACGCCTGCTGCATTATTGCTTAGTAGTTGCTGATCTACTGGAGTTGAAGCGTTGTTGATGTCATCTGCGGTAGGCTGAAACGATGAAACAATTGCTGCATTTTGTTTCTGTCCAATAGGAAAAATAAAACTGGAGCATTTGGACTTAGCCCTATCTTTTTTGGCAGAACAGTAGTTGAAATAAGGGCATGCTCCTCCTGTACCTTCACTGTTACCTCATGTTGCACCAGCTGCAGGTTCTTCTTCCATGTTGATGCTTTTGAACTTGGGGTATTGACTT